CCCCCCCCTCCCCCCAGTATAAACTAGTGACAACATTCTGGCAGTCAAAGTCATACACTACAAATTTGATCTCTCTTATTTCAGCCAAATCGAACATCTAAGGGAGATGCTCCGGGGACCTTCAGACTATACAGAGTTAAATATTTACACCTAGTAATGTCTCAAATGGGTTTTCAGCACATGCAAATTGAAGCAATATTATGGCCTAATCTCTCTTTCTTTGACTCCTGCCAAACATTTTTAAAAGGAACATGTCTTTGAAAATTAAAATAAAATAAAAAGCTGCATTTACTCCAATACTCACCCTCAATCCAGAGCTATCTCTGCAGTAATTTTTTTCTGTCACTAGTTTGTCTTTTTTAGGTTGAACTATAGCAAACATCATTCAGCCCACCTACTCTGAGCCTAGGCTGTCAGTGAAGGAGACGCAGCACAGTGATGAGAACATCTTCGTCCATCTGCTTTTTAGCACATTAACTGATTGGGTCTCTGTGCTGCTTCTTCCTCTCGCACTCTTAAGCTCTTTTAAAGTCACATGTTCCACAAAGTGTCCAAATTCTCAAATTCCTATCCACAATATACAACATTTTTCATTTAGTAATGTATAATCCAGATGTAAATCCACCACCAATTGTGTGTGCCAACCATTCTAGAGGATTTAGAACTTACCAACTATTCTGAGCCCTTCATACAAAGAAGGTCATAGCTTGCTTATGGTTATACATTGCACTGGATTGCCATTGTCACTGCTCAATTGAGATTTCTTCTCTTCAATCACCACTCATTGGACCGGTAACAAAAACACTCGTATACATACACAGAGTGTAGTAAATGTATTTATAACCAAAGACATCAAAAATTAAGAAAGGGACTTACAGTTTAAAAGTGCATCAAACTAGATGCCCACTACACACTGTTTCATCACTTCAGCCTCTGTTAACTTAACCTGACTTAAAACGGGAGGAGAAGCACTAAGAAACCAAATTCTTCTACAGTCCACTAATCAAATTCTTCTACAGTCCACATGTGCTGACAGGAGGACAATTCTGAGAGTAGAATAAGCACAGGGATTAATTGTGTGTGTGTGTTGCTATTTTTTCATTGGCCAAGGGTGTTCGATCACAATACTGACGGAACAGAATTACAGGTCCTTTGAAAATCCATGTCTGCTTGTGGCGGTCAGAGTTTTGCAGCTGGAGAGCCAAAGTTTGGCTACCCCTGCTGTAGTGAGTGGGGAATGATCTTTAATCAGTCACAACACCTCACTAACAATTATAGCAGCTGGGATACAGGTTGCCCATTATCATAGGAATTTGATCTTTAGAATTTATGATGAAACTCTCAGATTATCCCCTTAAACCAACAAGATGAAATGCTTTTGGAACAATTCCACTCCACGGCTTTTGACAAAGTAAAGGGCATTTAGGGTTATCCATGGTTATCTTTGATTTGCCAGAAGTGAAGTATAGAAAATCAAAGCTTTTAAAGCTGAACTCCAGGTATGTATTATTTTGTATGCTTTCATTAGTCCAGCTTGTCATAATGTAAGTATGCATAGGCCATAGCTGATCGGTCACTGGGGATCCTGTAAAGCACTGTAGTAGCTGGAGATACTACAGGAAATGCCAAGTATTTTACCAATGAATACAAGGCAATCTCTGATTGGATGAGGAGTGGTGATGTCAGGATTGGCCCCTTATCCAATCAGAAAACGCATCCATTGATTAAAAAAAAAAAATACCAGGCATTCACTTAATGGCCACTGTGCCAACCCCCTGTGTTTTCTGAGCAGCACAGTACAGGAAGATTATGGCCAGCACTGTAGTTGCTCTGACTACTACAGTGCCTTACAGGATCCCCAGTGGCCAATCAGGTATGACATATGCATGCATACTTTGGAACAAGTGGGACCATTGTAAATATGCATAATAATTCATACCTGGAGTTTAGCTTTAACGTGATAAAGCTAAAAAAACCTTAAGTTTTTTGGGGTTTTCTTTTTTTTTATTACTGGGATTCCGCATTTATGGAGAACTTTGTTTTTTTGTTTTTAATTCTTCAGTTCCTCTTTCTCTAGTCAGTCCCGCCCCCATCGCCCCCTGTACGGGTACCTACATCAGCTAAGCTGCTGCTGTGGAGGCACCCGTACCTGCTCGTTCTCGGCCGTGCCCGCAGTAGATTTGTGTGTCCGTAGAGGACGCCCAGCAGTTTGGTGGCAGAAGGAGCCTATGGCTCCTCTGCCCTCAGTATCCTCCCCCACAACCAGGGTGTTTGGGACTGAGGATCGCTTAGGGACCAGCGGCGATGACTGTGGTGACGCAGGTAAGTGTGGGAGGGGAGAGGGGAAAGGGAAAAGAAAAAGGTACTGGGCGTTTTTTACCTTTTAATGCAGAGAATGCGTGAAGGTAAAACATGCCCAGCCTTTAGTAATACTTTAAGCCTTCTTTGTTTATTAGGGCCACTGATATAGTCACCCACAAAACACGCACAATACACATATACAGTACATATTCCAATTGCACCAGAAGTGTCTACATTGTGCAACTTTGTGCTTAGTGATGAAATCTGTAAAGTAAACCAATTTCAAATGAACTTGTGACTCTAAGTGGTGACTTATCTACCAATACATCATAAAATAGATAGTATTGTACAAAGAGAATGCTATCTTTTTTTCCAGTTACACAAAAATAAACTGGTTATTACTAGGACAAGTGGTCACAGCGGAGAGGCAGAATCCCATAGGAAATGGTTTCAAAGTAAATAAAACCTGTAGCGAGAATGTTTATCTAGTTTAATCGTTTCACTATTGATGTGGGGTTTTTTTCTGTCCTGCTTCTAGTGTGATAAGTATAGAAAAGGCATTATTGACGGATCAGCCTGTGAAGGTCTCTGCTCCAAGGAAAACCTTTATTTTGGAAAATGTTTGTCAACCAGACCTAACAATCAGGTAATATTTCAATTCTTTGCACATTACTAGGGAGAATAGCAGAGATGATGCATGCCAAGGATAAGCGGTCTTCAGTACTCCATCTGTTAAAGTCTCAGATGATGCTTAGGGAGCTGTAGTTTTCTAACATCTGGAATGTCTTCCCTTGTGTATGCTCATAATAGAGGATAATGCAGGGTTCTCAATTCCACTTAACATTCTGAGTAGTGCATCAGTGACTCTTCTCTAGAGAGCATGGTTAGGCCTATTTATTTTTAGCAGTTGAGCTATATTATGCAATAATATTATTGACAACATTTATAAAAGTGTCTTAGAGGAACAGAATGTTTGCCCCACAGCAACCAACCAGATTGTCTTATATTGCAAATGAAAGTTTTGTTCTAGGGCATCACAAAATGTTTGGACACAGCTTTTCTCAGCCACTTCAGTCCCAGTGTTTTCTATAAAGGTGGCATTTTATATGATGATTATTTCAATCAATTTAGCTCCAATATTCTGATTATTGGACTGTGTCTAAATTGTCCCTGATATTCAGGACTGACAGATATTTGCTGTGATATTAAGTGATTTGGAAAATGAAGCAATTGGCGCCATATTAGTGCAGGGTTTTCGTTTTTTTTCTGCTTTTGTCTCTAGCGTAATCCAGTCTTAAAGGAGAACTATGGGGTTGGGGCTTTTCCCCATAGTTCTCCTATGGGTAACGGGAGGACACAACTGGCGTCCTCCCGTCACCCAAAGCTCGGTATACTGTGAGCTATAGCTTGCAGTATACTGAGACGCTGCAGCCGGAATGGATCCCAACAATTCTGTCTGGATCCACCCAGCTGAGTGAGTGACAGCTGGCTCTGCCTATCCAGAGGCGTAGCCAGCTGTCCCCGCCCCCTCCCCCGTCCGTTCCGCCAGTTGGCGCTGGAGGATCGGACAGGGGAAGGGGGGGAATCCCTGCAGGGCGCCGTGAGTGACAGTCTCTTCTAGAGAGCATGGTTCTCACTTCTCGATAGATCGAGAAGTGAGCGAGCGCCAGTATGTGTTCGCTCATTTCCCGGTCTACTGAGCCGACCTGTGACAGTTTCATTGTCACATGTCGGCTCAGATTATGAGGCTGAGTGAAAATAACTCGCCTCATAATTCTCCTTTTAAGGCAGAGCTGTCCAATTCCTCCCACAATCCAAAGACATGTTGGTAGGTTAATTGGCTGCTGTCTAAATTGGCCCTTATATGTATGCATGTGAGATAGGGACCTTAAAGTGTGAGCTCCTTGAGGGCAGGGACTGTGCAACTATGTAAAGTGGTGTGTGAATTGTCGGCACTATATAAATACCTGTAATAAATAAATAAGACTCTGCCTTTATCATGGTGGAAAGCTAGCCTATAATGAAACTTCAAACCTGACTTCTCCAAGCTTTAATTGGTCTCAGTATTATGTACATTTCGTTTGTAAGTAAAACAAAATAATACCAAATATGCAGGTATAAGAAAGCCCACTCATGTATTGGATTAGTTAAACATATAAACTGGTCTACCTGATTATGTGCAGCACATTGGATCCAGGCTAGCTGAATGCATCAGATGCAAAAGGCCTTATGACACATTGCCCATCCAACCCTTTAGGATAGTAGCAGGCATGATGTTCATGATGGAAGTGCAGGCTCTGATTATACATTGTTGAAATGCTCTGTTTTAGAAGTATCTAGGAGTCTGGGGAAATCTAGAAGGTGTGATTAAGTGTCAGATGGAGGAAGCTGAGCATGTTGATTTTGGATCTGAGCTGGAGCCTAGGAAAGAAAGCGTAATGTTTGACAAGCCAACACGAGGAACCACTGTGCAAAAATTCAAAGAGATGGTGCATAGTCTCTTTAAAGTAAGTAATACATCTTTCTTTTATCCTGCTAATGTTTCTTGTCAGTTGCGAAGAAACCTTAATGATCTGTAATATGCGCTCTTCAGTAAGATACCAGGATATCAAATGCTGACAGTACAAGTTGTAATTGACAGTACAAGTCAATTTCACTTCTAATCTATTTGTTATTGTAATGATGTATCAAACTAAATGGGTATGTCCTTTCAGGGGGATCCCAACAACTTGAAACACACGACTATTGTGCGTATATAACTCTTTTACCTATTTAGGAGCTTTAGGTACAAGCGTCGCCTTTGGAGTTCCTGGTAATGTTTGTTTCTTACCAACTATGAAGTCAGCTACGAATATGCTGCTTATCCTGCTGTTCTCTGTATGATGCAAGATAAAGAATGTAGGAGTGGAAACACTCATAATGATCGAAATTTCCATCTGTTATTTGTCCACACTCAGGCATTACACAACATTTGTTAATTACTTTAAGCCCTAAAAAAAAAAACAGGATGCATTAGGCACACTTGTGTTTTATCCAGAGTGTTTTTATCTCTGCATGTAAGTTATCATAGATATCATTCATGTATACCTTGGCTTTCACTGCTAGTAGATTTTGGCTGTAAATGTATGCTTCATGCAATAAATTGAATGCATTCAGTAAACACTATTGAGATGTGATCAGGCTAGAAATCCATAATGAGAACTGGTGACTTTAAGCCAGATTGTGCTGTGCTAAAATAAAGTATTCTAACTACCCACCATTGAAAGTAAACTCACTCATAGCCATATGTATCTAAAGCTTGCTTCTAAAGTGTAGCTCTACGAAAACATTTTATTGTGGATTTTGATAGAATAGGAAATGTATTTATTTTTTCTTTATCCCGTTTGTGAGATTATCTCTAACTTCCTGCCCTAGAGATACAACAGGAAGTGGGTATAAATCTCTCCAAAGTGAGAGAAATCATAGTAGACAGTTGTTGCTTGAACATGTCACTATGGAAAGATTGCCACTCGCCTTCTGTCCCGATAATGGTAAGATTTTGTATTTATCATTGCTTTCTTTTTTTTTTTTTTTGTGACAATGTTCTTTTTTTTTTTTAGTGACAATGGTCACCAGGACAAATAGGTTAAATCTCAGCAAGGACACACATAAATAAAAGCTAGACAAGAGGTCTAACACTTCCCCACTCTATCCAAAATTAGAATATTTTATGTATAGATAAACTTCCATTTCCAGTACAATGCAAAGTAAGCTCCTCACTAATATGAGATGCCCCAGCTAACAGCATTAACAGATTGACCTATCAGCTTTTCTTCACTTTTTTGTTTTTATTTCTGCAGTACACTCCACATTTGGTTTGGACTTGTATTCAATGTAAATGCAGATTTGAGGGCCATTCAAGAAACCTCCACTCCTGCTTCCCTCCTAACCACGTCCCCTTTACTGATGCAATCACTTTGCCTTGCCTCCTGCTAACCTGGTCCTGTAGTCTTCTCTGGTGGTCATTCTCTAACAACCAAGTAAACTGCAGCTCCCTAGCTTAGTTGGAGGCACACAGAACAAAGTTGGAAGCATTTTAGTAGGTTCCTCTTATCGTCTACAACCATTGCATAGCAATATATACAGCCAAAACTCAACTTACCAAGGCCTTAACAGACTGCCAAACTGAGCATTTTCATGTACGGTATTTAAAATTCAATCACTTAACTCTGTCATGTTGTGTGACCACTGGCAAACCTAAGCAACTTCAGAATTCACATTCAGTGTGCAAGCATGTTTTCTGATTGATAGCTAGCTCCCTCCCACCTGCTCAGATGACCAATGAAGAATAGAGCATGCGTTTTACCAATGGACTGGAGTACAATTTGAAAGCCTGCTAAGACTTCATTCAAGGGAAACTAATGGATTTAGGACAATTACATTTTTCTCTGTAGCTGTAAAAAAATAGTGTAAAGCAAGGATTCTGTTTTAAAGGCAAAGGGTGGAGACACAAAATATTGCTTTGATTTAGGTTTTTTTTTAATGCAATTTGCAGGCTGTTAATTGAAAATAAAAACTATTCATTATTTGTGAAAGCATCCTTGCTTTACAGAGTTTTTTTCTTAAGTGCATAAAATCTTTGGACAGTACTGTATATCAAACTTTTTACTAGTAAATATTTAATAAAAGGGTGTGTACA